AAACAATGTATAACCATCTCCTTAGGAGACACACACACACGTACGGACTGACAGAGGTAAAGGGAAACAATGTTTAACTATCTCCTTAGGAGACACACACACACACACGTACGGACTGACAGAGGTAAAGGGGAACAATGTATAACCATCTCCTTAGGCATAAATACACACACGTACGGACTGACAGAGGTAAAGGGGAACAATGTATAACCATCTCCTTAGGCATAAATACACACACGTACGGACTGACAGAGGGGAACAATGTATAACCATCTCCTTAGGCATAAATACACACCTACATACGGACTGACAAAGGTAAAGGGGAACAATGTATAACCATCTCCTTAGGAGACACACACACACGTACGGACTGACAGAGGTAAAGGGGAACAATGTATAACCATCTCCTTAAGAGACACACATACACGTACAGACTGACAGAGGTAAAGGGGAACAATGTATAACCATCTCCTTAGGACACACAAACACACGTACGGACTGACAGAGGTAAAGGGGAACAATGTATAACCATCTCCTTAGGAGACACACACACACGTACGGACTGACAGATGTAAAGGGGAACAATGTATAACCATCTCCTTAGGAGACACACACACACACGTACGGACTGACAGAGTTAAAGGGGAACAATGTATAACCATCTCCTTAGGAGACACACACACACGTACGGATTGACAGAGGTATTGGGGAACAATGTATAACCATCTTCGTAGGCATAAATACACACACGTACGGACTGACAGAGGGGAACAATGTATAATCATCTCCCTAGGCATAAATACACACACACGTACGGACTGACAAAGGTAAAGGGGGAAAATGTATAACCATCTCCTTAGGAGACACACACACACGTACGGACTGACAGAGGTAAAGGGGAACAATGTATAACCATCTCCTTAGGAGACACACACACACACGTACGGACTGACAGAGGTAAAGAGGAACAATGTTTAACCATCTCCTTAGGAGACACACACACACGTACGGACTGACAGAGGTAAAGGGGAACAATGTATAACCATCTCCTTAGGCATAAATACACACACGTACGGACTGACAGAGGTAAAGGGGAACAATGTATAACCATCTCCTTAGGCATAAATACACACACGTACAGACTGACAGAGGTAAAGGGGAACAATGTATAACCATATCCTTAGGAGACACACACACACGTACGGACTGACAGAGGTAAAGGGGAACAATGTATAACCATTTCCTTAGGCATAAATACACACTTACGGACTGACAGAGGTAAAGGGGAACAATGTATAACCATCTCCTTAGGCATAAATACACACACGTACAGACTGACAGAGGTAAAGGGGAACAATGTATAACCATATCCTTAGGAGACACACACACACGTACGGACTGACAGAGGTAAAGGGGAACAATGTATAACCATCTCCTTAGGAGACACAAACACACGTACGGACTGACAGAGGTATAGGGGAACAATGTATAACCATTTCCTTAGGCATAAATACACACTTACGGACTGACAGAGGTAAAGGGGAACAATGTATAACCATCTCCTTAGGCATAAATACACACACGTACAGACTGACAGAGGTAAAGGGGAACAATGTATAACCATATCCTTAGGAGACACACACACACGTACGGACTGACAAAGGTAAAGGGGAACAATGTATAACCATCTCCTTAGGCATAAATACACACACGTACAGACTGACAGAGGTAAAGGGGAACAATGTATAACCATATCCTTAGGAGACACACACACACGTACGGACTGACAAAGGTAAAGGGGAACAATGTATAACCATCTCCTTAGGAGACACACACACACACGTACGGACTGACAGTGGGAAACAATGTATAACCATCTCCTTAGGAGACACACACACACGTACGGACTGACAGAGGAAAAGGGGGACAATGTATAACCATCTCCTTTGGAGACACACACACACGTACGGACTGACAGAGGTAAAGGAGAACAATGTATAACCATCTCCTTAGGAGACACACACACACGTACGGACTGACAGAGGTAAAGGGGAACGATGTATAACAATCTCTTTAGGAGACACACACACACGTACGGACTGACAGAGGGGAGCATTGTATAACCAGCTCCTTAGGAGACGTGTGAAGAAAATATTCTGAAAACATTTTTGTTAACATGCAATGTAATGATGGATTGCAGTTTAAAGTCTAAGAGTAAGTAATACATACATATCAGGAAGAGACGTGACTTTTAAGTTGATATGAATATAAACCTTGCTTTGTACAAGGCTGTCTCCTGGAGCCTGATTTTTAACTTGATAGTTCATAAGGAACCAGTCTGAAACAAGACGTGTCGCCCTTCTCACTCACATTATTCTGATTTCAAGCTGACCAGTCTTTGCTCTTACTTCCTTATTGATGTTTTCTTAACGGAGAAGCAACACATACTAATATTTAAATCAGTATTTTTTCTTTTGATCAATGATTGAACCCACGCCCTCCAATATAAATCGAGTTGAGCTCGCTCCGATGCCGTAAATTTATATTGAGCTGTGTTTTTATTTCTATATTTAGGACTGCACAATACTTTCACCTTAACAATGATTAAAAAATAGATTTATCATGTAAAATTGAAATTTCAAATGTTAAACAAAGAAATTTTGTAAATCCTAACTATACAATATAACCACTCAACATTTATAGCTAAAAATGAATTGAAAAAACTATAGTTCAATACACAACTAAATAGATTTACAATGTACCTTACATTTTGTAAGAATGTTCATTTGAAATACATATTTTTTTTAACTTTTAACATTTTCTTTGTTTACATTGTTTATCTTTATTTTAAAATGCACCAAGTGGTTTGTAATTGATAATTGATCGAGATTTATGCTATTAATATGTACATGTTATATTCATCTGCTACTAACTGCCTAAATTGAACATACTGTCCTGGGTCGGGATCCTGATGTTCAGTGGTTGTCGTTTGTTGATGTGGTTCATGGGTGTTTCTCAATTTTTATATAAATTGGACCGTTGGTTTTCCTGTTTGAATGGTTTTACACTAGTCATTTTTGGGGCCCTTTGTGGCTTGGTGTGAGCAAAGGCTCCGTGTTGGAGGCCGTACTTTGACCTATAATGGTTTACTTTTACACATTGTGACTTGGATGGAGAGTTGTCTCATTGGCACTCATATCACATCTTATTTCTATAAACGACAGTCTAGCAATAAATATTGACCCGGCCCGTATATTGATTGATTGTTGGTAGCCAAACGGACAGTGACAAATATATCATGCATGCTCAGGACGAATCTTATGTATATAGTGTTTTACAAGTGTACATGTATGCTTGGGGTTGATGAGTATAAAAGCATTCTTTCAAATGCTCTGCTAATTCAGGGCTAAAATTAGTTGACCAACATGGGTCTATTTGAACAGGTTAAAACATCGGATATAATGTCCCTATTCCGACCGGCTGTGTCTGCACAATTATTTAAAAGTTCTCACAGTCAGACGTCGACCCACTATAATAATTGTTTTCAATATTGAATTGGTGAAGTATAGGTAACTATAAAACGATATCGAAGTCAGCTCTATGGTTGACATAAAACACTTAAAAGAGAGATTATATATTGTTGTCAATATAAAGGGATTCTATGCGACTGTCACACAAGTGAGAGGTTTAGCTAGCTATAAAACCAGTGTAATCCACCACTTTCTACATAAGGAAACGCCTGTACCAAGTAAGGAATATGACAGTTGTTTTCCATTCGTTAGATGTGTTTGAGTTTTTGATTTTGCCATTTTATAAAGGATTTTCCGTTTTGAATTTCCCTTGCAGTTCGGTAGTTTTGTTATTCTACTTTTTGGGACATTGTGGGATAGTAATTTAACATCAGACATAATATCTGGCGACTTATAAATAACCGACAGTGTCCACAAAGTCCGATATGTCATACGGGAAATAATTTACCTTTTTCCATCAGATTGTGCAAACATCGATCATATATAATGAAATATTTAATATGTATCACCTGATCATGCATTAAATATTTGCCACTGGACGTAAGACAAAAAACAATCCATCAATTGCCAACTTCTACAAAATTTACTCTTACACATGTTAAAATTATCTTCCTCTGGTCTCCCCAAAGGGTGACTGGGGAATAGAAATATGGTCACTACAGGTTTTCTTCCTACCGGCAGTAGAACCCTTGCCAAAGTGGGGCGTCCGTTTGGTTGTGCGGGATGTACGAGTACGCAGTCACGTCCGGTCAGAATGGGGACGTTAAATCCGATGCCTCGTGTAGAGAGAGTGCCACGCTCTATGCACGTTTAGAAACCTTGCAACAACTCTTTGAGGGGTCCGTAGGTGACCTGTTGCAAGGCAAAATGTCTGTCCCTATCCAATTTACCCTCATTTTCCAGTGGCAGTCTAAATTTCCCCGACCTTCTCGGACGGCCTACATTACAGGACCTACCTATTGTATTTATTGTTAATTTGTTCTCGTCCTGAATATGCATGAAATATTTGCCACTGGACATTAAGCAACCAACAATCAATCAATCGATCTTCCTCTGGTCAGCAGATAACTACTATCATATTGTCTAATTTTCTTATCTTACGAAACAACTGCAGGTACTCCTTTAGAGTGTAATTTAATGATACTCATGTTTCCAATCCGACCGATTAATTGACGGAAAATGTCTGGTATTATACGGATGAACGGTTTCTGTGTATCAATCTAAATCAATGATAAATACTATTTATTTTGACTATGGTTTTAAGAGTGTGAATATATATGATGAAGGAGGTAAGGGGAATATAGAAAAGAGACAGAATCCAAACGAAAAAAATAACCATCTATGGGGCAACTTACAGTATGTAACAGTTAAAGGTGTCCATACAAAGTGTCATGCTCTAAACGTCTCGGATTTATATATGATGTGAATAAGTCATATTTTTCGTTGAAATAAAGATTATCAAGTCGTGTCAAAAATAAATAGATGTCTTTATTGCGTTATAAATGTAGTACAAAATATCACATAGAGTATACAGTTGAGATTAAAGAATTAATGAAAAAAGAGTATGAATTGATAACAGTAAAACTAAAAGTTCACTTATTCCAACAGCGCATCGAGTAATCGAACTGGCATTTGGTTTGGTCTGAACATGATTACGTAGATCTGAAACTGAACAATTAAATAAAATATAACAATGTCTGCACATTGCTATGAATCATTACATCTTTTCAAAATTGTATGTGATTTCAGTTAAACTTGCAGATCTTATCCGAGCTATATTGTAGACAATGTAAGCGGTATCCAATGTTTGAACCCTTATGATTAACAATTGCATTATTTCACATTTTGTCTTGTGTCTAATAGTTGAATATACGGTACGGGTTTTGCTCATGGTTTGAGGCCTTACGGGGACCTACAGTTGCTAACATCTTACCCATTTGGTCTATGATGGGCAATCATACCACATCTCCTTACTTTTAATATCAATTCTTTAGTGTGACAGAACGGTTTACCGAACACATTTATTTAGTTTCTGATTTTCAAATTTCATACTTTGTACTGGAAAATGTTCTGTCCACTCTCTTTTTTAACACTCAAACCCATGGAAGTCTATTTCCTTGAAATCGGAAGTCAATATGATTCATATAAAACAGTTGACTTCTAGTGACTTCGAGTCTCTCTCAGATAATGTATAGACTTTTGTGCTTCGTCATATCATCTGTGTTTTGCTTTCAAGCGATTACTTAAAGGTAAATTCCTCAACCTATCTATGTTATCCATTTCAGGAAGTTCTACTTCAGTAATTTGGTTTCGACAACTAACATTTCTTTCTCATTTTCATGCATTCACTATAATCATGATAACGTTAAAATAGAATTGACTTGCATTAAAAATGGTAAACGCTAATAAGATATTGGTTTTTACTAAGTTAACTTACTTTTCCCAAGTAACATACTGCGTAAAGATTGCTGGTTTGCTCTTAGTTCATTCTGTGAGTTTCGAATCGCCCTGTTGTCAGATTCTAACTTGCTTTGTGCTGCTCTGAAATCATTCCGTAGTTTGTCTATTGCGTTTTGTGTTTCCTTTTGTAAACTACTTCGAGTGTCTCTCAGATCATTTTTTAGAGCTTCTTGTGCTGCAGTCATATCACTTAAGTTTTGCTTCATAGCGACTATCTTTTGGTCGAATTCTTCAAACTTCTTTCTGTTTTCCGTTCCCATTGCATCGATCTGTTTTTGCATATCCTCCTGGAGTCTGACTTGACGTTCATATTCTGTAGTTAATGTGTTTAGTTCAGTTGTAAGATTGTTGATGCGTGCGTTAAAAGTCACAGTTATATTCTGAATCACTGAAAATAAATTATAAATCGTTTTATTTTATTTGTTACTGGATAGTATTCAAACAACTATCAACCAGTCGTTTCTATTTTTTTTTTTATATTTTTAATTTTAACCTAAGTTCAAATGCCAGAAAAAAAATGGCAGTATAGAAACTTTAATAGCAAATTCTTAGTGATAAAACAATTGTAATAAACATAAATCGTTAAGAAAAAAAAACCTTTATAGTAAAGAAACATCTTTACATAACAACGTATGACATAGTTCTAATACAATACAAATTTCGAATTCCAACAGAAAACGGGCAATTCTTGTCCATTTAAATCTAAGCTGGGTTTGAACTTAAAACCTCAGAGCTGACAGATTAGTGAGCACTGTAGATACCTAAACAAGTACATGTATCTATGATTTCAAGTGAAGGCCATTTTTTTAACTTCCTGTCGAAATTATGTCACTGTTTTGAAATAATAGTAACTTCGTCATGTATGTCATTTGATGTACAATTTAAGCCTACATATTTATACTTGTGTTTTGAGTTTTTCTTCCTTCCCTTTATGTTGCTTTTTTTATTTTGTATCAAAAAGTATACCCTAAGTATTAAAATAAGAAGATGTGGTATGATTGCCAATGAGATAACTCTCCACAAGAGACCAAATGACACAGAAATTAACAACTATAGGTCACCGTACGGCCTTCAACAATGAGCAAATCCCATACCATATAGTCAGCTATAAAAGGCCCCAAAATGACAAATGTAAGACAATGCAAACGAGAAAACTAACGTACTAATTTATGTACAAAATGATGAACGAAACACAAATATGATACACAATAACAAACGAAAACCACTGAATTACAAGCTCCTGACTCGGGACAGGCACATACAGAATGTGGCGGGGTTAAACTAGTTTGTTGGCGCCAACCCTTCCCCTAACCTGGGACAATGGTACAAGAACAAACTATACAAAACAATAAATGAGAAACAAATATGAGAAACAACAATAAACAACCACTGAATCGCAGGCTACCGACTTGGGATAGGCACATATACACTGTGGCGGGGTTACATTAGTTTGAAGGCGCCAACCCTCCCCCTAACCTGGGACAGTGGTGTAGCAGTACAACATAACAACAAACTATAATAAAATGCTCCGCTGGGGCGCAGCTTGATACGACCGCAGAGGTCGAACCCTGAACAGTTGGGGCAAGTATGGACACAACATTCAAGCTTGATACAGCACTGAATTTGGATTGTAATTAAATATTTGACACAGCATAGGTTTCTGACACAGAATGAATGTGGTCTAAGAACTTAAAAATTTTTAATTTACCTATTCAAACCATATCATTATTATTTGCTTTTATATATAAACCAGAAATAACCAATTTAAAATGGAAAATTTTAAAGAAAAAAAAGGAAAAAAAAATCCCCCCCCCCCAAATTTTTTAAACCCCCTTATGATGCATCACCCCCAAACTCAATCCCAGCCTTCCCTTTGTGGTATGGTACCTTGCAGTACAATTTCAGAGAGATCCATACACTTGAACACAAGCTATAATTGTCTAGAAACTAGAAAAATGCTTGTTTTTTTGCCCCTTTTTGGCCCCAAATTCCTAAACGTTTAAGGCAATTACCCCCAAACTCAAACCCAGCTTTCCCCTTTGTGATATGGAACCTTGTAGTACAATTTCATAAAGATCCATACACTTACACACAAGTTATTGTCCTGAAACTAGAAAACTGCTTGTTTTTTTGCCCCTTTATGGCCCCTTATTCCTAAAATTTTGAAGCAATTACCCCCAAAATTAATCCCAGCCTTCCCCTTGTGGTATGGTACCTTGCAGTACAATTTCAGAGAGATCCATACACTTGAACACAAGTTATTGTCTGGAAACTAGAATAAAATGCTCCGCAGGGCGCAGCTTGATACGACCGCAGAGGTCGAACCCTGAACAGTTGGGGCAAGTATGGACACAACATTCAAGCTTGAAACAGCTCTGAATTTGGATTGTGATTAAATATTTGACACAGCATAGGTTTCTGACACAGAATGAATGTGGTCTAAGAACTTAAAAATTTTAAATTGGACATTCACCTATTATGGTCCAATATCCAAAATCTAAATACATGGTTAGATTCAGCATATCAAAGAACCCCAAGAATTCAATTTTTGCTGAAATCAAACAAAGTTTAATTTTGGACCCTTTTGACCTCAATGTGGACAAAGTTGATAACAGGGCCCAAAAATCAAATATCTAAATACATGGTTAGATTCAGCATATCAAAGAACCCCATATATTCAATTTTTGTTGAAATCAAACATAGTTTAATTTTGGACCCCGATTTGGACCAACTTGAAAACTGGGCCCATAATCAAAAATCTAAATACATGTTTAGATTCAGCATATCAAAGAACCCTAAGAATTCAATTTTTGTTAAAATCAAACTTAGTTTAATTTTGGACCCTTTGGACCTTAATGTAGACCAATTTGAAAACGGAACCAAAAATTAAGAATCTAAATACACGGTTAGATTCGGCATATCAAAGAACCCCAATAATTCAATTTTTGATGAAATCAAACAAAGTTTAATTTTGGACCCTTTGGACCTCAATGTGGACCAATTTAAAAATGGGGCCCAAAATCCAAAAACTTAATACACGGTTAGATTCAGCATATTAAAGAACCCCAAGAATTCAAGAACCAAACCCCATTGAAATTGGTCAAGAAATAAGCAATTTATACGAAGTATCTTCTTTTGCACAATACTGTGCAATTGAATTTTTCTTGCTATTGCGCAATACTGCACAATTGACAATTTCTTGCTATTGCGCAATATTGTGCTATTGGATATTTCTTGCTATTGCGCAATACTGTGCAATTGAAGATTTCTTGCTATTGTGCAATACTGTGCAATTGAAAATTTCTTGCTATTGCACAATACTTAATATATAATAATTTACACATCCTGTTTGGTGTGTATCTCCTACCATATCATTATTATTTGCTTTTAAATATAAATCAGAAATAACCAACTTAAAATGGAAAATTTTAAAAGAAAAAAAAAAGGAAAAAAAGAAAAAAAAGGAAAAAAAAATCCCCCCCCCCCCCAAATTTTTTGAACCCCCTTATGATTCATCACCCCCAAACTCAATCCCAGCCTTCCCTTTGTGGTATGGTACCTTGCAGTACAATTTCAGAGAGATCCATACACTTGAACACAAGTTATTGTCTGGAAACTAGAAAAATGCTTATTTTTGGCCCCTTTTTGGCCCCCAATTCATAAACGTTTCGGGCAATTACCCCCAAACTCAATTCCAGCTTTTCCTTTGTGATATGGAACCTTGTAGTACAATTTCAGAAATATCCAAACACTTACACACAAGTTATTGTCATGAAACTAGAAAAATGCTTGTTTTTTGCCCCTTTTTTGGCCCCTAATTCCTAATATTTTGAGGCAAGTACCCCCAAAATCAATCCCAGCATTCCCTTTGTGATATGGAACCTTGTGGTACAATGTCAGAGAGATCCATACACTAACACACAAGTTACGTCTGGAAGTTACAAAAATGCTTATTTTTGGCCCCTTTTTGGCCCCTAATTCCTTAACTGTTGGTACCATAACCCTCAAAATCAATCCCAACCTTCCTTTTGTGGTATTAAACCTTATGGTAAAATTTCATAGAGATCCATTCACTTAAACTAAAGTTAGAGTGCGAAAACCAATGTGTCTTCGGACGACGCAGGACGACGCCGGACGACGACGACGACGACGACGACGACGCCAACGTCATACCAATATACGACCGCAAAAATTTTTGCGGTCGTATAAAAACGCTTATTGTTGGCCCCTTTTTGGACCCTTATTGCTAAACGTTTTGGGCAATTACCCCCAAACTCAATTCCAGCTTTCCCTTTGTGATATGGAACCTTGTAGTACAATTTCTTAAAGATCCATACACTTACACACAAGTTATTGTCATGAAACTAGAAAAATGCTTGTTTTTTGCCCCTTTTTGACCCCTAGTTCCTAAAATTTGGAGGCAATTACCCCCAAAATCAATCCCAGCATTCCCTTTGTGATATGGAACCTTGTGGTACAATGTCAGAGAGATCCATACACTTACCACACAAGTTATTGTCATGAAACTAGAAAAATGCTTGTTTTTTGCCCCTTTTTGACATCCATGTCCAGTGCACAATGTTAAAACAATATTGTTGACATCGCGATATTTACAATGTTAACGCGATATCGTGTCAACATCGTTTACATTGTATGAACTCTTATATATTGTTTACATCGTTGACATCGTTAATATCGCGATGTATACAATATTGTAAAGATATCGTGTTTACATCGTTTACATTGCGATATCAACAATGTTAACACCATATTGTGTCAACATCGTTTACATTGTAACAGCTGTTTTATACTGTTTACATCGTTTACATCGTATACATCGCGATGTATACGATGTAGTAACGATGTAGTGTTTACATAGTTTACATTGCGATATTAACAATGTTAACAAGATATATTGTCAACATCGTTTACATTGTAACAACTCTTATATACTGTTTACATCGTTGACATCGTTAACATCGCGATGTATACAATGTATTATCAATATCGTGTTTACGTCGTTTGCATTGTAGTGTGCACGATATGGTGTTAACATTATTTATAATGTTTGAAATGTAATAAAATGTTTGCATCGTTTACATCGATATATTACAATTTATCAATGATATATTATTGATTACAAATGTGTCAATTTTTGTAATTGGACAACAATACGGAGATGTCAGTTTATATTCAGGAAACTGCCGGAGTATATACTACATTTTTTACCCAATATGGAACATCAACAACGTCATCATAGCAAACGTTACAATGTGACGTTGTCTTAAGCTATGCAGAACATTTAAAGAATGTAAGAGACCCTCATGGGGAAAATAATGGCGTGTATCCGTCAATAATATGTTTTAAATTTAAAACCACGCTATTTACACATTCAATACTTAAGTACTGTTTTAAAGAGCTATTACAAATTATTGCATATATGATAGAATTATTTTCACAGCAAATTATAGAAGCATTTACATATGCGGAAAATATCAAGTTGTTTTTTTCAGTATTTGTTGTTAAAAAAAATTCATAGAAAATACAAACGGTGTACATGAAATCTAAAACTTTATTGAAAAATATCAATGAGGAAAAAAAATTGACATTAATACGATGATAACGATGTAAACGATGTAAACACGATGTTGTCAACTTCACGATGTATACGATGTGAACGATGTAAACAGAAAGGTATAGACTCTATATACAACATAAACATGATGTTGGCACGATATTGTCAACATCACGATGTATACGATGTGAACGATGTAAACACAAAAGTATAGACTTGGTACACACCATTAATACGATGTTGACGATGTGAACGATGTAAACACGATATTGTCAACATCACGATGTATACGATGAGAACGATGTAAACACAAAGGTATAGACTCGATTTACAATATAAACACGATGTTGACACGATATTGTTAACATTGCGATGTATACGATGTGAACGATGTAAACATAAAATTATACACTCTATATATACAACATAAACACGATGTTGAAACGATGTTGTCAACATCACGATGTATACGATATGAACGATGTAAACACAAAGGTACAGAACATATATATAGACAGGATACAATGTAAACACAATAATGACACAATAAAGTAGACTTTACTAACTCCTTAACTGTTGGTACCATAACCCCCAAAATCGATCCCCACCTTCCTTTTGTGGTATTAAACCTTATGGTAAAATTTCATAGATATCCATTCACTTAAACTAAAGTCAGAGTGCGAAAACCAATGTGTCTTCGGACGACGACAACGACGACGCCGGACGACAACGACGACGACGACGACGACGACGCCAACGACATACCAATATACGACCACAAAATTTTTTTGTGGTCGTATAAAAATCAGTTGAAAAAGGCTTAACTCATCAGATGGATACAAATAGAAATACATCTAACAAAAACACAGAGTGGACGTGGCAGAGTTCTTACATGTACATGTATACATCCCCACAACAAAAAGATAAAGTTTGTTATGTCAGGCGATCGTGACAATATTGCCGAGGAAATTCTGAACGCATAATATTTTTGTTTGTTGCACCTTACGATCAATTTTCGTTTAACAATTACTTAAATCTAAGTTTCATATCGCTGTAAAGGTAAATACACGTATAGAGCTGCCGATGATATTTCATTCTACAACTCACAATAATCATTTAAATGTAGAATACACGTAGTTTCGGTTTTATAACATGCAAACAACTTAATATAAACCAAAGGAGATATGGGTTAAGGTTAACGAGACAAATAATCAATAACCATTATGAAAAAGTAAAATATCAATTGTCAATTTCATGAATTTTCAGAAAATATATTTTGTCATTAGAAATCCAATAATGAAAGTGAAACTTATTTAATACTTACAGACCTATTTATATATTTCTCACCGTTATATTATGTTATTATTTCAACTGACTGAGTACATGTAACAGTTAGAAGTTATGTACGATGCATATTAAAAAGTATATATAACCTCGAGCAACAGTTTTTCTGTCGTCCTGAACATGAATGAAATATGTGTCATTGGACGTTAAGCAAGCTACAATCAATCAATATTGCATTACACAGAGCACTTTCTTTTAAGAAAAAATGATCTCTTATTTTCGAGACAAAATCTTGGTTTCCCTGAATAATATTAATAACTTCAATAATGTTACATACCTGTTTCCAATATGTCCAATTTTTCATTTTGATCGTAATGTCCAGCAAACAACAATTTAATGTCATCCTCAAACTTTTTCCTGTGATGTTTCATCTCCAATATGTCTTTTTTCATACTGGATATCTCTAAAAATATATAAAATGGGTAATATATTTTGCAATATACAAAAACAGGAATTTATTTTTCCTAACCTACATCTAAAAAATCATATTATATTAAATAAACAGCTGCGCCATGAGTGCATGACACGCCCGTCGCTTTTTTAAAGAATAAAGTTCAATAACTTCTCAATGTCATTTCAGAAATTTATGAAGAACCAAAGGGAGGTTATCTTAATATATATAAACCAGTCACCAAAGTTTCATGAAAACTGCTAAAAGCACTTTAAAGATATTGTACGAAAACTGGAAAATCACCCCCTTTATATGAATAAAATCCCATAACTCGGAAACATAAAATCTAAAATTTATAAAAATCGAAAGGAACTTTATGTCAATAGATATAAACAATTCACCAAACTTTCATGAAAACTGCTGAAAGCATTTTTGAGTTATTGTCCGAAAACTGGAAAATCCCCCTTTTTTAATAAATAAAACCCCCTAACTCCGAAACGTAAAATCTAAAATTTATAAAATTCGAAAGGGAGCTCATGTCAATAGATATAAACAATTCACCAAATTTTCTTGCAAATTGGTGAAAGTATTTTTGAGTTATTGTCCGAAAACTGGAAAATTCCCCTTTTTAATGAGTTAATTAAAACCCCATAATTCGGAAACTTAAAATCTGAAATTTATAAAAAAAACGAAAGGGAGCTCATGTCAATAGACATAAACAATTCACCAAAGTTTCATGCAGATTGGTTAAAGCGTTTTTGAGTTATTGTCCGACATGTCGACGACGGACGGACAGACGGACGGACAGAGGGACAACGGTATACCATAATACGTCCCGTAAACTAGCGTATAAAAACACTAAAGCAATCAGCAAATCGTCATGATTTACAATGTACCTTTTTTTTACAACCTCATTAACGAACAAAAAATAAACTCTGTACTCTTTTCCTCCTCCAAATATTTGGCCATATTTTAACAATATAACAAAAAGATAAATTAAGCCCTCGTCCTTTTTGCAGGGTGGGGTCTTTGAAACATTAATTTTATAAAACACTTATCTAGATTCGGGACGATTTATAGAGGAGAGGCGAAAGATACCAAAAGGACATTCAAACTCAAAAGTCGTAAATAAACTGACAACGCCATGGCTAAAAAAGAAAAAGACCAACAGAGAAACAATAGTACACAAAACACAACATAGAAAACTATATAGACTGAGCAACACGAACCTTATCAAAAACTGGGGGTGATCTCAGGTGCTCTGGAAGGATAAGCAGATCCTGCTCCGTTTGCGGCATCCGTCGTGTTGCTCATGTTAGTACAAACCTGGTAATAAGTAATTCGGTAGGTCACATTCGGAAAAAGGGGACGGGATTGTAGTTACGACATTAGGAACATATCCGCTATCAAATAGCTTGACATATATTAATAAAATGCTCCGCAGGGCGCAGCTTGATACGACCGCAGAGGTCGAACCCTGAACAGTTGGGGCAAGTATGGACACAACATTCAAGCTTGATACAGCTTTGCATTTGGATTGTGATTAAATATTTGACACAGCATAGGTTTCTGACACAGAATGAATGTGGTCTAAGAACTTAAACATTTTAAATTGGACATTCACCTATTGTGGTCCAATATCCAAAATCTAAATACATGGTTAGATTCAGCATATCAAAGAACCCCAAGAATTCAATTTTTGCTGAAATCAAACAAAGTTTAATTTTGGACCCTTTTGACCTCAATGTGGACAAAGTTGATAACGGGGCCCAAAAATCAAAAATCTAAATACATGGTTAGATTCAGCATATCAAAGAACCCCATATATTCAATTTTTGTTGAAATCAAACAAAGTTTAATTTTGGACCCCGATTTGGACCAACTTGGAAACTGGGCCCATAATCAAAAATCTAAATACATGTTTAGATTCAGCATATCAAAGAACCCTAAGAATTCAATTTTTGTTAAAATCAAACTAAGTTTAATTTTGGACCCTTTGGACCTTAATGTAGACAAATTTGAAAACAGAACCAAAAATTAAGAATCTAAATACACGGTTAGATTCGGCATATCAAAGAACCCCAATAATTCAATTTTTGATGAAATCAAACAAAGTTTAATTTTGGACCCTTTGGACCTCAATGTGGACCAATTTAAAAACGGGGCCCAAAATCCAAAAACTAAATACACGGTTAGATTCAGCATATTAAAGAACCCCAAGAATTCAAGAATAAAACCCCATTGAAATTGGTCAAGAAATAAGCAATTTATACGAAGTATCTTCTTTTGCACAATACTGTGCAATTAAATATTTCTTGCTATTGCGCAATACTGTACAATTGACAATTTCTTGCTATTGCGCAATATTGTGCTATTGGATATTTCTTGCTATTGCGCAATACTGTGCAATTGAAGATTTCTTGCTATTGCGCAATACTGTGTTTTAAAAGAAAAAAAAAGGAAAAAAAAAAAAAAATCCCCCCCCCCAAATTTTTTGAACCCCCTTATGATTCATCACCCCCAAACTCAATCCCAGCCTTCCCTTTGTGGTATGGTACCTTGCAGTACAATTTCAGAGAGATCCATACACTTGAACACAAGTTATTGTCTGGAAACTAGAAAAATGCTTATTTTTGGCCCCTTTTTGGCCCCAAATTCCTAATCGTTTAGGGCAATTACCCCTAAACTCAAACCCAGCTTTCCCTTTGTGATATGGAACCTTGTAGTACAATTTCAGAAAGATCCATACACTTACACACAAGTTATTGTCCTGAAACTAGAAAAATGCTTGTTTTTTGCCCCTTTTTGTCCCCTAATTCCTAAAAAATTGAGGCAATTACCCCCATCATCAATCCCAGCCTTCCCTTTGTGGTATGGTACCTTGCAGTACAATTTCAGAGAGATCCATACACTTGAACACAAGTTATTGTCTGGAAACTAGAAAAATGCTTATTTTTGGCCCCTTTTTGGCCCCCAATTCATAAACGTTTCGGCAATTACCCCCAAACTCAATTCCAGCTTTCCCTTTGAGATATGGAACCTTGTAGTACAATTTCAGAAAGATCCATACACTAACACACAAGTTATGTCTGGAAGTTACAAAAATGCTTATTTTTGGCCCCTTTTTGGCCCCTAATTCCTTTACTGTTGGTACCATAACCCCCAAAATCAATCCCAACCTTCCTTTTGTGGTATGGTACCTTGCAGTACAATTTCAGAGAGATCCATACACTTACACACAAGTTATTGTCATGAAACTAGAAAAATGCTTGTTTTTTGCCCCTTTTTTGGCCCCTAATTCCTAAAATTTTGAGGCAATTACCCCCAAAATCAATCCCAGCATACTTTTTGTGATATGGAACCTTGTGGTACAATGTCAGAGAGATCCATACACTAACACACAAGTTATGTCTGGAAGTTACAAAAATGCTTATTCTTGGCCCCTTTTTGGCCCCTAATTCCTTTACTGTTGGTACCATAACCCCCAAAATCAATCCCAACCTTCCTTTTGTGGTATTGAACCTTGTGGTAAAATTTCATAGAGATCCATTCACTCAAACTAAAGTTAGAGTGCGAAAACCAATGTGTCTTCGGACGACGCCGGACGACGCCAGACGTCGACGACGACGACGACGACGAGACGACGCCAACGTCATACCAATATACGACCACAAAAATTTTTTTGCGGTCGTATAAAAACTTAGTCAACACTAACGATAATTATTCATTCTGATGTACCTTTCTCATCAAGAGACAAATTCCACATTTTGTATAATGACAATGCAACGGAGACGATACTACATAGAGCTATCAAACCGAACAAAAATTTCCATTTCCTTCTTTTAATCCAAACACATATTTGTCGCTGCTGATTTTTCGTCTTTTTCCCATCGTTGGACTTCAGGTCCACAACATAGTCAGTTCCTTTCTCTCCAAGTAATTTGTCAGAGTGATGTGGATACACATGGTCGTCTTTATCTAAAATGTCAACATTGGGAATGAAAACATTACGTGAAAGAAAATATATACAGTTTTTTTTTTGGCAGAAGTTTTATTTCGGCGAACTTAGGCCAAACAAATAGTTATAAGTCTTTCCTGCATCCTTACCTGCCGGAAATGCTTATCCTATCAAATGTTAAGGACATTTTTGGTTATGTACGGTTAATATGCAACGTACAAACATTTCCCTTTATAGTCTACATTTAAAAAAAAAACATTTAACCTATCTACGCGCCCTGTTTTAGTTTAGGTTATGCCAGCTAGGAGGCATGATGATCAAAATCAAGTTTCAAACAAGTTCCGATAAGATTATAAGGCCAATTCAAATATATTATATATTCTTTAGCCTGCCTCCTGGCATAAAATAAAATAAAACAGGGCGCGTAGATAGGTTAAATGATTTTTTTTAAAGTAGACTATAAAGGGAAATCTTTGTACGTTGCATATTAACGATACATAACCAAAAAATGTCCTTAACATTTTTTTTACAATTTTTTAAAACTAAGTTTCATATTCCTACATGTAGTTGTAAAATCATAAATACATACTTTAAAAGTTGCCGGTATTTCATTCTTTAAATGAATAAACACATTTCACAATGATCATACATGTATTTAAGTGCAGTAAAATTGTAGTTCGATAACATGCAAACAAATGTATATATAGAGAATGAGATGTGGGTAAAGGTCAACGACACAAGTAAACGAACACTTTCATCTTGAAAGTGGAATAAATCAATTGTCAATTTTATTGAACTTTAAAAACATATATTTTAACATGAGAAATCCAATAGTGAAAGTGAAAGAAATTTTTACAGACATGTCTCTATTGTACACTGTTCAATTATGTAGTCGTAGTCATTTCACCAGACAAATTACATGTCACATTTAGAAGTTATTTGTTAGGAATTTTAGATAAAAAAAATCTAATCTGAAAGCGCCAACATTAATTGTTACTTTCTTTCTCATCCTGACTATACATTAAATATTTGTCACTGGACAGTAATCAAGCAACAATCAACCAATATTGCAAAGCATTAGATATAGTTTGATAAAAATGGACTATAACATTAGATACGATATATTTATAGGCCATCGACGAATCCTTCAATGCTGCAACGGTTCTTTTAACACACATGTGCACTTAGTGACTCACTATACACGCGCCATCGGATTTAAATCGCAATCCCGACCGGACGAGGCTGCGTATTTATACATCCAGTTCAGCCAAACGGACTTGTTCCGAACGGACGGATTTTTCTACATGTCCTAGGCTACGATAAATTAGTACTACGATTGGATATCTTAACTTAAGTGGTTTTATGATGATGATGGGTGGCTGCTTAACGTATAGCGGCAAATTAATATGCATATTCAGGACGAGAACATGTTAATTAATGTAATATGAATATTAACCCTGCTTTGTACTAGACCGACACGCTGAGCCAGATTTTTAACGTGCAAGTTCACAAGGTAACAGTATACAGAAAGATACATCACCTTACCCGGACACATTATTCTGCTCTTACTCCTTAATACCGCGTGCTTTTCGGAGAAGCAGCTAATACAAGTGGTTTTACGCATATCAGCCCAGGTCATCTCTTCATCTCTTAGGGGTTAACATGTTTAACAACATTATTTTAAAAAAAGTAACATGGAGAACGATAAACTTTAAATAGGTTGGACGTGAGTAGTCTTAAACATGATTGTTTTCAACATATATACACTTCATTGTCATTATTTAGTAAGTTTTGTACAACTTCCGTTGGATCTCCGTTAGGATCTGCGACTAATTACGGCGCCATTTTCTTGAATGCGTATCAATACAGTAACCAATTAAATCCTTTCTATATCTAATTTATTATTATAATTATTATTTGTTTAATCCTATAGATCAAATCTTCTAAATAGTTTTTTACAAAATTATCTTTTCGAAAATATTCTAATAATTACATTTGTAACTTACCTGTATACATGTTGATTATCTGTAGTAGACTGAAATACGTTAACAAACAATCTAGAATACTAAATGAATGTAAAAATAGATTCAGTGGAAATTTCCTGTCTGGGTTATTATAATGCTAAAATTAGAACAAATCGTCCTATCATGGGGCTCTGAACAACAAAATAAAAAACATAATAATAATCACGACGACCAGACTGAGCGGAATAACAACAACAGAATATAATTGTTTATAGGTACAAAAAGTATAAAATACTACGTTATGAATAGATTGATTAAAATGGGAAATTCTAAAAGAGATTATAAATGTATACACGATAATGCATGTTTTATTTTCTCATTACGAAGATTACATAACTCTTTTTCAAGTTTTAAAGTAAAAAGTAATGTCCGATAATATATATTTCAAATTTAGTGACAAAATTAAAATGAGATGATGCTAAAAAACGAAAATTACCCTTTATAGCTATAGATATTGTGTGTCAAAAGCGATTTTCGTGGAATTTCATCTTCAGAATCACTGAATCTAAACAAATTGAAAGCCATGGATGTATAAAAACCTATATTATTTTAAAGCCAAGATGTATAAATACCTGAAACATTTGAAAGCAGGGATGTATAAATACATGTGCGTAAGGAGCTATACGACCAAAATATTTTTGTTTTTTAGTTTTTCGACGTTATCAATCAAATTATTTTTTTTCAATATTTAACACTAATGGGGAAAATCTGGATACAGAATATTTTTTTTTTGTCATCTGCTTGACCACAATATTTTTTTCATCAAATTTTTTTTATGAAAAAACATTACCCCCCTTGAAGTTAAATGGTCGTTCCCTAAGGTATACAATGTTAAAATTTACTTGTATTCTACGGGGTGCATCGACTTTGCTGTATCAGCTGTGGTGAACTCCTTGCTAGTGGACCACAGTATCCTCGAAAACTGAGATGCATTTGATTTTATACAACTTGCCTCCAAGGTCTTGTGTCCCCATGGTAAATGTATATGTTGATTTGATGCTGATTGCAGCTTATTATGGCGGCGAATAGGAGTGTTGACATTATGTCAAGTCAAAAATGGACAAACGGGACTTAACCTTACACTGACCAAGTCTGGAACCCGGTTGCTATATTCAATCTTTATAAATAAAAGGGAAAGGTAATAAAGCAGGAACGTGTGAAACAATGGTAAATTTGATTTTGGAACTGTCGTTCAGTCAGGGGACCCTCCTTGGTCAAATAATGAAGTTACACTTATCATTCTTAGAGACTTACAAATATTTACCAACAATAACTATGAAAGTAAGTGTTATGTTCGTCAGATATTTATTTCTTATCGTTTGTTATAAGCAAACAACGAAAGCGAACGTAAAAGTGATTGGTCATTGAGTAGCATGAAAAAGTCGTTTGAACAAACTTACAGCCTACCCCTTACAGTTACACTAGTACCGACCGCGGCCTACTAAACTTATGATATTCTTGGTGATAAAAACGGTGTAACAGCGCTAGTACCGACCCAGGGCTAGAAAGAGAAAATAATTGACATTGTATATAGTTCAATTCCTGATTTTTGGTTGCTTTACTTCCAGTGGCAAATATAACATGTCTCGGAACATTTGAAGGTCCCCACTGTGTATTGGTTACCTAAACTATACAAAAAAACCGTAAATTATCCTTTCATCTCGGCTTCTAGTAAGTGTTCTACTACTGATTTTTCGGCGCTTTTAACGAGTTCCTTAACTACTATCAAAGAACTTATCGTTATTGTGTAATAAAACATATGAAAACAGTGGAATTAATCATTTTTGGAATGTAAAAAATTCTTTGGATGTTTTAAAAAAATTACGTGCTTTTGATGGTCCTTTTGATTCGGTTGACAGTTTTGACTTTTCCACTCTTTATACTACACTTCCACACAATCTTATCAAACAAGAGTTTTCCTACCTAACTAAATGGTCGTTTGATGAATCTGGTTGCAATTTTTTTTTGCTGTAACTCATATAAATCCTTTTTCTCTAATGAGAAAGGTAAATATGCTAGATATACTTACTGAAGGTGTGATGAGATGATCCAAACACTAAATTTTTTCCTTGTCAACATTTATGTACGTTTCTGCAATAAAGTTTATCGACAGATTGTAGATATTCATATGGGCACTAATTGTGCCCTTTTAATAGCAGACTTGTTCTTTTACTGTTATGAATCATAGTGTATGGTCAAACTCAGTAAAGAACCGTCTAAATTCAACAACACTTACCGTTATCTTGATGATATTTTTTCATTAAATAATCAAGAATTCTCTAAATATACTGCTGAAATTTACCCAACGGTAAAATAAAAATAAATCTAATATCAACAGCAATAACTGTCATTTCCTAGATTTAGATATTTCAGTATTACACCAGAAACTCTACACAAAAAATTACGACATAAGGGATGATTTTTCTTTCCCTGTTGTTAATTTTCCCTTTTTGGACGGGGATGTTCCTTACGGTGTTTATATATCCCAGCTCGTTCGCTGGATTTTAATGAGCGTAATCTATGTATTCTATGTAAACTATGTAAACTAGTACACATTTTTATTTAGGAGCCAGCTGAGGCCCACCTCCGGGTGCGGGATTTTCTCGCTCCATTGAAGACCCATTGGTGGCCTTCGGCTGTTATCTGCTCATTGGTCGGGTTGTTGTCTCTTTGACAGGGATTTCGTTACCACCAATTAGTTAAAACCTTTACTAAATTCTCTCATAGATACAAAATTTTGGTCTGTTAGTTTGGCTGTACCTGTAGAAAACTTATTTCAAACGGAATTGCACGTCATCCTAAATTTTACGGTGATGTTGTAAACCGAGCCCGGAAATATAGATTCGATCCGGGTAAACTTATCAATCCTGAAATAAACTTATTCTAAAAGGTTACCTATACAACAGTGTAATTATATCTTTGAATATTGTTTTTATTGGCATAAATATTGATTTTGTTATCATTATATTAAAACCATACTAAATATTACAATATGTACTTTCACGGTGCTACAATCTGTCGATACTTATTTTGTTAAGCATTGCACAAGGTCATGTTTTTCTCTGAATGTTAATGACGTCTTTACACTAAATCAATTGGATGTTGGATGTGTACTGATTGATATCTTAGTCTTAGATACATGATTTATTTTTCATTAGATGTAATTGGCTTTGAACTAGCTGTCAGTAACTGCGAGTACTCTCAGATCTGTACTTAGTGTCTTTTCGTTTTTGGGATGTACAAGTACCCGTCCAAGTCCACTCTGTGTTTTTGTTAGATGTATTTCTATTTGTATCCATCTGATGAGTTAAGCTTTTTCAACTAATTTTTATAGTTTGTTCTTATGTTGTACTGTTACACCACTGTCCCAGGTTAGGGGAGGGTTGAGCGCTTACAAACATTTTTATCCCCGCCACATTCTTTATGTGACTGTCCCAAGTCAGGAGCCTGTAGTTCAGTGGTTGTCGTTGGTTCATGTCTGTCATATTTGTTTTTCGTAAATTGATTTGTTATAAATTAGGCCGTTAGTTTTCTCAATTGAATTGTTTCATATTTTTCATGTCGGGGCCTTTTATAGCCGACCAAAACGGTATGGGTTTTTCTCATTGTTGAAGGCCGTACGGTTGCCTATAAGTGCTTACATCAACTTCATTTGAACTTTGGTGGATAGTTGTTTCATTGGCAATCATACCACATCTCCTTATTGTTATATATGTTCATGATTTGAACAAATTACCAATAAATACAATAGGTATGTCTTTATAAGGGCCATCTGCGATAAAGCTTGATGAAATTTTAACTGCCACTGGAAAATGAGGGTATATTTGATATGGACATACATATTCCCTTGCAACATGCCACCTAACGACCCCTCAAAGAGTAAATTGTTGCAAGGGTTCTTAACGTGCAAAGAGCGACAATTGTCGCAGGATTTAATGTCCCCATTCTGACGGGACGTGGCTGCATATATACGTGTATATCCCGCACAGACAAACGGACGCCCCACTTTAGCAAGGGTTTGGTTGCCGGTCGGAGAAGACCTATATTACCATATTTCTCTTCCAAAACCACCCTTAGGAGGCAGTCTACACGAGTTATATGCTATATTCATATATTTTTTTCAAAGCTTCTTTTTATGACATACAGTTTGATGTGTCACGTGATTGATTCAATTAAGAATTGTTTCAGTATAGCACTTGTCTGCATTGCATATAACCCATGCTATTGCATAAACCAAAACTTGATGGATGAGTATAAAGTAGCCAGTCGTCGCTCCGGTTTGGTTTAATTATATCGTTTTAGTCTTGGGTTTATCCATTAACAAAAACCTTTACGGTCGAAAAAGTACACTACCATTCATATTATGTTTAATATTTTACTTTGTGTGTTTTCTGATTTTTTTTTGTCTTTACTTTTTTTAACTTGCAGTTGTACTCTTAGATAGTTTGTTGTTTTTTTTTTTTTTGTTTTTTTTTTTGCATATTGTAAATAGTTTGACGTCAGGATTAGTCCCAACCCAATTACAATATATAACTTTTTCAACTGTTTATTCAAAATACACTCCGACGCAGATTTCCTGCGTAACAGGAGCGACAATTACATATATATTTACACATAACATAGAACCGAAGTGAATACAAATATTAAACGGTATAAATATTTTTTTACAAAGATAAATGTATACTTGAATGAATTAGACAAAAAGGAAAAAGTCCATGCAATCTGTAAAGTTTAAATAACCACGTGAACTCATGTACACAGTCAAATGATAATGGATAGTAACAAAAAATGTAATACATATATACATATGTGATGATTTAGAGAGAAACAGCTGTTCCTCTACTTTTTGGGTGAAAATAGAAAGGTTAGTTAATACATTTAATTTGCAATATTTCAACATTTCATAAAGATTGTTGATATTTGGGTTGATACTATAGTAATAGTGAATATATACATTTCTTAATCCAATAACATCAGCATTGTTACATAGCACTATGTAATGACACTCATCCCCACGACCAGTCTTACAAAGCTTACATTTTCTTTCCATTTCTGGAAATTGATTCCATCTCCCCGTTTCGATCGATAATTTTATGCTACAAGTGCGAAGTTTATTGAACTTTCGAAGTCTAATTAGATACATGTATAGAGTTCCATACAGAAGTCAGTCTTGAATTTTGAAAAAAATTTCCCCCTTGATGATTATTCAATATCCGAAAACCATTTTTGTATGAACTGGCCATGGAGTCTTTGTTTAACGTAAATTTTCAGTTCAAATTAACGTTTCATTGTACATGCCAAATTTCACTGTTACCAGTTTCATCAAAAATAGATTTTACATAATTGACCCACTTAAAAGATTTACTTTCATTTAAAATAAATTAAAACAGCTTGTAGAGTTTTCCAGACAGTTTATCAACATTTGTTACAAGATTGTACCAGAAACAAATCATTTTCATCTTGATACTAAATTCGATAGGAAATCGGCCAAGTTCACCATAGACCACGAAATTTACGGTCGATGACTTTACCCCCAGAATTTTCTTGCAGAACTGTAAATGTATCTTTTAAACATTCATCTTATTTCAAATCCCCAAATTTCTGAGGAATAAGTCAAAATAGGGGCTACCAGCGAATCAAATAGTTTTATCTGAAAATCTAAAGGAGTACTTTCATTATTAATTCTCTGGTACAAACTGTATACAGCGTTTTGATCTTCATCCGCTAATTTGTTTCTGGCTTTACAAAAATTACCGTTGTTATTAAATAACAAACCAAGATAATTATGTATATGAATCTTGAATCTCAATTTCATCATTACATAGTTTAAATTTAATTTTTTTATTACAGTTACGTTTTGCAAAAATTACAATTTTTGTCTTTGAGACATTGACCATATGTTTCCATGTATTACAATATTGTTGAAATATATTTAAAGTATTTGTAAATCTTCAACAGTATCCGCAAAGATAACTGTATCATCTGCATATAGTAAAATGAACATTTTCAAATAAATACATATGTTATGTATACATTCTGAATCTAAGTATTCTAAACCATGACCTAAATTTTGACTCAAAAAGTCTTCTAAATCGTTCAAATACAAAGCAAAAAGAAATGGAAATAATTTCCTCCTTGTCTAACACCCGTTTCACATGGAAAAATGCAGTTTTCAAATTATTAAGTTTAACACAAGACTCAATATCTGTGTACACATTCTGTATCAATGTAAACATTTTCCCTCTGATGTTGTTTTTTACAAGTTTTTGGAAAAGCCCGGCCCTTCAAACGGTATCAAACGTCCGTTTAAAATCCACAAATACAGAGAACAATTTCTTTCCGGCAGATAATTATAATGTAATAATAGAATGTAAAACAAACTTGTTATCTTGGACAGAGTATCCCTTGCGGAATCCACATTGTGAGTCCAAAATAATCCCAATTTCATCAGAAAATTTCTTTGTGTTTAAAATAGATGTAAACACTTTGCCTAAGTTTGAGGTCAAAATTTCATACAATAAATAAAAATACATTTGAGCAAATTGATTGAAAAGTTCAAGGCAAGACTAATAAACTCGTGAGAACAACAGCAAGTGTCATCATAGAAACTTCGAGGTATAAAAGAACAAAAAGCTTTTTTAAATCAAACTTAACAACAAGTACAATTATTTAGCCATGAGGAGTCGGAATTCGACAGAACTGTGATACGTCAAGTCAAAATCCCGCACTTGTTCATGCAAAATAGTCTAAAAATTAAGGTCACAGAGAAGCATATGTCTTTCTGAAGAATGAATTTGTGTCTTGCCTTTGTGTTATAAGAATTCCTATTTCTATTAACACTCAACTCAAATCTATTATAACTTCTCCAAAATACTCCCAAAGAAACTGATTTGTTTAAGAAGTTGTTGTTGGTGGAATTTGATCACAGTTCAACATTGCACTACCTTTTATTGCAATAACATTATTTATTATAAAGTATTAAAATTTATATCAAATAACTGGCTCACAATGGATAATAAACAGAAATATAAAAAATAACAATGTATGTATTCCTGACGTATGACAGATCCGTTGACTATCGTTTGTTTTCTGATTACGTATCTCTGCATTGGATCCTGAAATAAATAAATAATAAATACAATATGTGCAGTATTTATTTAACGTTTGAGCAAACAAGGTGCTATTTATTTATAATTAGGCAATGTCTTATAAATGCAATTTATTTATTCGATTTATGCATACATGTATTTACAATGTGTACTCTGAAATAGCAAAATATCGTCGTATTTCGTTCTTTTGAATGGTGGTGTTAGTTTTCTTCGACTTTTGACTTTTGGTGTACCCTTTGGTATATTCTGTCTCTTTTTACTTTAACCCGAAACACGCCGTTATATTTGAATGCAAATCACGGGAAGTTGTGTTACCAAAAGGGGTTTAAAATAAAATATATATATAAGAAAGTCGAGTACAAACAAGTGTGAAAATGTACAGGTATGCTGGACTTAATGTTCTTCTCATATAACACAGTTTTGCTTCGTTTCTTCTGTTACCTATTCTAACATCGGACTGGGACTTCTTTAAAACGGAGTTTTACTGCGCGTATTGCTGTGTATTTGTTTATTCCACATTGGAAAGAGGTACAATGTATAGGGAATGGTTGAGCCTCGGGATCTTTTGTTCTTTGGTCGGGTTGTTGTCTCTTTTACACAATCCCCGTTTCCATTCTCAATTCTATATCAATAAGGCAACGACACTTAAGACACGACGCAGCCAGATATTGTTGAATTTAAAGTAGATATATAATATAAAAACAGTAATGAAAAAAGTCAATTAAAAGTGGTTCGTGAAATAGGACGAATTCATTAGCATGTGACTTGCTGAACATAACAAGTCTTTTAAATATTCTTGCATCTTTAATCTTGAACTTTTAAAATAACGTAAAAAGACACGGAGGAACCAGTTGCAACCTCCTTTCTTCACAAACAGCTTAGATCACCAGTTCCTGAAAATTATGAAAGTTTTATGTGTGATTGTTGGCAACTGAACTCTACTGTATAAAATTGAAAAAAAAATTTCCAACAGAACCGTTGAAATTAATTTTTCAATCATTTTAGGTAGCAACCATTTACCTTCAAAAAGGGGGGGGGGGGGGTATGGTTTTTTGTCTCAGTCAGATTTTTTTTTCGCACAAAACGCGAACATTTTTTTTGACGCTATCAATCAAATTATTTTTTTTTCAAAATTTAACACTATAAGGTATGGGGTGAAATCTGGATCTTTATATTATTTTTTTTGTCATCTGCTTGACCACGATGTTTTTTTTTCATCAAATTGGGGATCAGAATTTTTTTTAAGAGAAAATCATAAACACCCCTTCCCCCTTGAAGTTTAATGGTCGTTCCCTTAAAATGTAAAGGAAGAAATTTTAAGAATAGATATAAAGTATCCTATGGTTGTCTTTATACCTGCCGTTAGAATGTCTAACAGCTTCTGTTGAAAAGAGTTTTGTGTCCGTACTATTTCATCAATTTGTTTTTGGATCACGATATCTTTTGTGTCAAGTTTCCCCATCTTCATACTGTTATTTCTATTATTAGTCTCTATCATTGTCTGTATATCTCTCTGTATTTTGACCTGATTTTCATACAGTTTTGTTAAGTTATTGACATCCACTTTAAGGTTTCCAATTCTTTGATTGAACATAACTGTATAATTCTTTAACACTATAAATAGAAATAAAATAATTATAACGTATTGTTCAATATTTCAAGTTTTATTTCTTTTTCAACTTTTTACCCTTATGTTTGTTGTAAACTGCACAAGCGGAATGTATTGTTTTACAATTTTTTTTTTAATTGATGAATTTTCTTAAAATGCACCTTCATTGTTATTTGATACTTTTAGAGTGATCGATTATTACAAAAAGGAACTATTGGATCATTTGTCATAAAGACAGAATAAAGACGACATGCCTTTTTATCGCCTGGCCAAAGTCAGGAACGTTTGGCCTTTCTTGGTCTTGTATGTTTTTTTAATTTTGTTTTATCTTTATGTTTCGGAGTTTCTCTGATCTAGTAGACATTTTTAGTTAGGGGGCAGCTGATGCCTGCTTCCCGGTTAGAGATTTTATTTCTCTGTGTTGAAGCCCCATCGATGGCCTTGATCTGTTATTGTTGGTCGATTTGTTGTCTCTTTGACAAATGTTCCGTTTCTATTCTCAAGTTTATATAATGTCGTCTACAGATGGCAACATACAGTCACACGTGACTGGTATAATATACACCTGTTTTTACCATGTACTCAGTTCCGGCCTGTCGGACATAAACGTTTCTAGCACAATTATCGAACTCAAACTCAAAAATCAACCAATCAAATTGCATAACCCCTACTAACACCACAACCCTTTTTTTTCAATTTTTACCGCCCATCAACAAAGTACAAAACTTACTGATGCCCATGTTGTTGATGTTTTTACTATGATTTTCATGTCCAACAAATAACCTTTCTACTTCCTCTTCAGATTTTTTTATTTGAAATTTGTTGTGCAAGGAATTGTTCCTCAATACTGTAAAATGGTAAAACGAAAGTAAAAGTATAAGCGTTTCCAATGCCATTATTTATTATCTGTGAAGCTGATACGGAATATTTATCAACAAGGTCTTGCGGAAGATATTGTCTAATTGGCACTCATACCACATCTTCCTATATCAACTTGATGATAAATATTCCGTATCAGCTTCACAGATAATACATGATGGCCTTTTAACTACATAATTATTCTATGAACTGACTTGTTTGTCATCTTAATAACGTGGTAAAATGTTCTGTTTATTTGTCTTTGTATATTTTTAACCTTTACTGTTTAGTCCATTTTTGGTAATATCCTTTTGGCGTGGCTCTGTATTTATACATACCGCCATTGTGTTATTGTGGTATGGTCATTTTTTTTAGTATTCTTCTCTTTAATTTCACTTTTGCTTATTTGCTTTGTCTAGAGAGCGCCCACATGCCATTTTGTTTTTCATTGTTGGCATAGTTGTTCGTTTTTATAGTGTTGAAGTTTATAACACAATGTATACTGCCGTACCCCAATTTTTGTTTTACATTTTTACCTTTTATGTCAGTTTTTTTCGCTTACACATTAATTGTTGTCAATATAATGGAATTGTATGCGACTGCCATATAACTGAGAGGTTCAGCTATCTATAAAACCAGGTTTAATTCAGCATTTTCTGAAGGAAATGCCTGTACCAAGTCAGGAATATGACAGTTGTTTTCCATTCGTTTGATGTGTATTAGCTTTTAATTTTGCCATTCGATATGGGACTTTTCGTTTTGAATTTTCTTTGGAGTTCGGTATTTTTGTTGTTTAACTTTTTAAGTATTGCTTGCATACAAAAATTATCTAAATGGTTAATATTATATTATATTACATGTATATTTATTTATTCAAGAAACATACCTGCATGCTCCAGATCTACACTCAAATCGTGAAATTGTAGCATAAGGTATATGACCAAGCCTATGGATACTAGACATGAACTTGCTAATATGGTGAAGAAAACAATAACTAACTTCCATCTTATTTTTCTACTACAACAACAGGAGTTTTTCTGTTTGGTTTTTGGTGAGACCCAATCAGATGTGTTGCCTATATCATTGTCATGTTCCTCAATTGAATCCACTTCTGAAATGTTTAGTTTTAAATTATTTGTCATGTTATTCACCGAGTTTAATTTTAGACATGCCGTTTATAATTGTGTACACCTATATATGGCGCTCTTCACTAGGAAGACTCTTGGAGTATTTCAGGTTGTCCTAATTCCATGACCATCCTTATATACATTTAGATGGAAGTATATCATGGCACATTAATTGTAAATGACTTAACTTATATTTTAGTTTTATTTCATTATAATCCATATTTTCTTTTTAGTTCAGTTAAAAAGATCAAAATTGTGTACATTTTTGACCATTTTTATCACATGAATTATTGTTTGAATGCTAGCTTCTGACTTAGTACTTAAAAATGTAACAATTAAAAAAAAATTCAGAAATGTTATACTTATTTTCCAAGAACCGAGAATAGTTATGATTTATGATAAATGACAATAAAAATAGTTTTGTTAAAATATAAGATAATTGTTCTTGGACCAGATACGTGAATTCACAATTTTCTGTATTTATTACTTATAAATCATGCAATTAGAAAATAATATGACGGAGTGCTAACTAAAGGCACCAGTAGTATACAGCTGTTCAATAGTCATAAATCGATTGAGCGAAAACAAATTCGGGTCACAAACCAAAACCAAGGGAACACGTCAACTATAACAGGAAAACAATGGAACGTCAGAAACACTGAACTGCTACAAAAACAAAAACACAATAGAAACGGACTATTTGATAACAACTGACATTTTTCAGACTTGGTAAAGAACATGTTAAGAAAAAAATGTGGCTTAAACCTGGTTTTATAGCTAGCTAAACCTCTTACTTGTATGACAGTCGCATATAATAGAAATGAGCATGAAATGGGTTGAACTAACATTAAATGTGTGCACTGTTCGTGAATGAAAAACAAAGAAATAGAAACAACAATCATTGTACTCAGTAAAATTGGGGGACACAGTTCTATTTTAACATCATACAACCGACATTTATCTTTTTTTCAAAACCTAACGCACACGATCATGTAATGAATTAACTATGACTTTATTGTTTTAGCTTACCTGGTCCGAAGAGGACTTCGTTTAAGGAGGCTCGAGGGTACAACAATTTCAGCAAAATTTTAAACATTTTTTTTCATTACAATTTCTATTTATTACACTTTAAGTTGTTACTTTATGATATGGTACAAAAACCAACCAAACAAAATCTATTCGTTTTGGCCCTAGATGACTTTTAAAATGTTTATATCATTGAAAAAGCTCCAAATTATCTACCTTTGGGGCAAAAATGCTATTTTTTTGCATGAAAATTGAAATATCTTTTTCAACTCATCGGTGACCTATATTTTTTATTATTTTTTTCTAATAATCTGTACTTACACTAAACAATTGTAAACTTTAAATGATTTCTGTAATTTAGTTCTTTTTTCATTTCGATATTACCTCTATTTCTCCTATTATTTCGATTTAATTTAATTTAATCCACCATTTTCTACATAAGAAAATGCCTGTATCAAGTCATGAATATGACAGTCGTTGTCCATTCGTTTGATGTGTTTTATCTTTTGATTTTGCCATTTGATTAGGGACTTTCCGTTTTTAATTTTCGTCGGAGTTCAGTATTTTTGTGACTACTTTTTTTTAAAAAAAAGTACCTTAACAAAAAAGCATGCTTCTTTCGAAAGCAGATTGTGAGCTTAAATGAACGATGACCCCATTTGTTTTATTTTAGTTTTCTATTAAGTATATGATAAAGTTTATTTATAGAAAAAAACAGCGAAATCCTATATTTAAAAAAAAATCGATTTATACACTCGAGCCCCCTTTAACATAGGATTCTAAGGGAAACAAATGTCTTCTTTTAGAGAACCACTGAATGGATTATACCCAAACATGGCCCTAATGTTCCTTATGAGGTACTGACCAAGTGTTGTTACTTTGAAGCCGATCTATCATCAAAGATAGCCGCCAGCAGGGGGCTTCGTTTAACAAAGGACCCTGTGGGAAAAACAAACAAATGTCTTCTTTTAGAGAACCACTGAATGGAATTAAACAAAACATGACATGAATGATCCTTATGTGGTGCTGACCAAGTGATGTTACTTTGAAGCCAACATCCAAGATAGCCGCCAGCAGGGGACTTAATTTAACATGGGACCCTTTTTGAGTATCTGTTATGATTTTTATCTATTTTTACATAATTTCTTAAACCAAAGTAGAGACAGGTGAGCGACACAGACTCCTCAGAGCCTCTAATTTTAACAAAATTCAATATTTCATATTTAAAATTCATGACAAAAAAGATTTTTAAAAGTTACATGTTTAGTACTAACTTAGCATTCAAACCGTAATGCATGTGACATAATAAAAATGGCAACCCTTGTACACAATTTCGTTCTTTTGTACTGAAACCAACAGGATATTATAGATTATCATGACATCAATCCTAACTATAAGTTAACCAAATTTAATGTTCTTAAATTGACCGGATTTTTGTTTTAAGTTTTATTACAAAATTTGGTAAAATAAATCTTGTCCTAGACATACTATATAACTACTACCATGCATATTCGAGTCCGTCGGTTTTCAAACAAAATGTTTAGTGTCGGTTGTACGGTGTGATTTAAATTTCTTGTGTTTATGATAAAGATTTAACTCTTAAAATGTATGTGTAAATCAAATACTATACCCATATCTGGCCTTCTGCAATTTGATGATATGTCTTTCCGATTAATTTTGCAGTCTGTACTAAAAGTATACTTCAATTCAGAAATAGGCTTTCCAAATATAAGATATTGAAGAAACATGAAAATAACAAATTTCCTTCCTTGTTATTAAATAGAACACCATAGATTGAGCATGATATTGTTTATATAAATAGGGAAGTATTACAATTAATTTCAAATTATGAATTTCTTTAATGATAATAGTTAAATCACTCATCAATTCTTTACTTATTTGAATCAATTAAGTTTTAACAGCTTAATGTCTAATTTTGCATTGACTAAAACACACAATATTGATACATGAGCATTATAATTAGTTATCAAAGATACCAGGCTGATAATTTGATACGCCAGACGCGCGTTTCGTCTACATAAGACTCATCAGTGACGCTCAGATCAAAATAGTTAGAAAGCCAAACCAGTACAAATGTGAAGAGCATTTATGACCATAAATAATATTTATACAAATATGTCACAATAGATAATTCGTAACTTGGGTGAAAGTTACATTATGTTTTACACTTGAAATCAATAATCATCATCATTGTGTATTCTTTGTTCAATTTAATATACCAAGTTGAATACACCAACGAGCTATAGGGCGTAACCCCGATTACATTAATTTCATTTAAATACAAGGTGATATTATAATTAATTATTTTTCGCATAATGTAAATAATTTGCATGACGTCAGAGATAAACAGATTAGTCTCTAAAACCCAATTACAATATAAACCATTGTTACAGTGTTCGCTGTTATCAACCTATCTGAAGCACGAGTCTACTAAATATTTTTGCGGCCAGCAAAACTTTGATTTGAAGTTGTTCCTGGCTGTTAAAATGAAATTAAATTTCAAACAATAAATAAAAATGCATTAGTGTACTGATTTGAACAAATTAATTGAAACATCCGATGCAAGACAGCAAGTGTAACCATCGATACTATGGGGTATCCCGAACAAAAGGCAATTTAAATCAAACTTTCCAACAAGTACAATTATTTGGCAATTAGAAGTCGGAACACAACAGAACTGTGATACGTAAAGTCAACACCCACAATTGGTCATGCAAAACAGTCTTAAAAATTAAGAAACATTGAAGCATACGTCTTTTTGTAGAATTTATGTCTTCCTTTGTGTTATATTTTTTTTAAATTCTATAAGCACTCAATTAAAATTTAAAGTCATGATGGGAATAGATATAATGTTTCACTTTCTCCACTTCTAAGAAATTGATTTGTTTAAGAAGTTGTTGGTGATAATTGATCACAGCTTAACATTTCACTTTTTATTGCAGTAATTTTATTAATGAAGAAGAAAAAATATATATCAATCTATTCGCTCACATGCAAAGGATAATAAAAAGAAATATAGAAAATAACAATATGTGTATTCCTGACGTGGAACAGATCCATTGACTCTGGTTTGTTTTCTGTTTACTTATCTCTTCATTGGATCCTGAAATAGATAAATAATTTAAAAAATAGGACTTTTTGTGCAGTTTAATTTCACAGTTGAAAAACAATCTGTTTTTCATTTATTAATAGGACAATGTTTTGATTTATGCATAGATGTACATGTATTTACAATGTGTACTCTGAAATAGCAAAATATCATTTTATTTCGTTCTTTTGAATGGCGTTGTTAGTTTTCTTCGACTTTTGACTGGTACCCTTTGGTATCTTCTGTCTTTTTTACTTTAATCAGAAAAACGATACGAAAGTCGAGGACAACAAGTGTGAAAATTTACAGATATTCTGGAATAGATGTTCTTCTCGTATGATTTTTGAGGGCATGATTGTAAACCACTAACAGGAGGGATTGTGCCTGACCTTCATATGATGAAGACGTGGTCTTTTGGTCAGTTTCATTGAGGTCTGAAGCTGGCATGTCAGTAACCGCTATTTGCCCTTTGTTAACTTATGTTGATCATTGTCATTTTGCTTATTTTCATCTGATACCTATTTTAACATCGGACTGCATGGGACTTCCTTAAAACTCAGTTTTATTGTGCGTGTTGCTGTGTATTTGTTAATTCCACATTGACAAGAGGTATATTGTGAGGGTTGAGCCTCTGGCTCTTCAGCTTTTTGGTCGGGTTGTTGTCTAGTTTACGGCACAATCCCCGTTTCCTATCTCAATTCTATATCAATAAGACAACGGCACGTAAGACACACCGCAGTAGACAATGTTGAATGTAAAGTAGATATAGGATATAAAGACAGTAAAAACAAAGTCAATTAAAAGTGGTTCGTGAATTAAGTCCAGTTCATTATCATGTGACTTGTTTAACATGACAGATCTTTTAAATATTCTCGCATCTTAAATCTTGCACTGTTAACATAATGTTAAGATACACGGAGGAACCAGTTGCAACCTTTTTTTTTCTCATAAATTTAAACAGTATAGATCACAAGTTCCTGAATATTATGAAAGTTTTATATGTGATCGTTGGCAACTTATCTCTACTGTTTAAACTTCAAAATAGCAAACATATATTCCGACATAAGAACAGTCGAAATCAGTTTAACATGTAAAGGAAGAAATGTTAAGAATAGAAATAAAGTATCCAAAGAATCTCTTCAAACCTGCCATTAAAATGTCTGACAGCTTCTGTTGAAACGAGTTTTGTGTCCGTACTATTTCATCAATTTGTTTTTGGATCACGATATCTTTTGTGTCAAGTTTCCCCATCTTCATACTGTTATTTCTATTATTAGTCTCTATCAGTGTTTGTATATCTCTCTGTATTTTGACCTGATTTTCATACAGTTTTGTTAAGTCATTGACATCCACTTTAAAGTTTCCAATACTTTGATTGAACATAACTGTATAATTCTTTAACACTATAAATAGAAATAAATTAATTTGGACGTAAGCTTCAAGATATCAAGTGTTATTTAATGTTTTACTTTGTACGCGTATGTTCGTTGCAAACTGCACAAGCGGAAAATGTTTTACATTTTTGTGAAATTGTAGGACGTTTTTTAAGTGTGATTTAAAATATTATAAATCAAATACTTGTTCATTCATCAGATTTCACCAAAATTCGTTTATAAATTGAAAAAAATGTAAGCTTATCAAGTAAACAAAATCAAGTAAAGCTAAAGAAACAACAATGTAAAATAAAGAAGATAAGATTAATGTTCCTGACTAAGGACTTACATAACGGTTGTTCTAATACCAAAAATTGAAGAAGAAATACAGACAACTTTTGTTTCAGGAAGGCACTGTAACTTAATGTTAAAGACCAGCACCAAATAAGCAACACATTTTTCAGACATCTCTTTGCTCTGTACTCTTTAATGTCGCGTGCTTAGAAGCAGCATACCAATTTTTTAAGACTGGTTCGTTGGGGCTGGTTTCGTACCTGTGATCTCCAGCACACGAGGCGGTTCAACCAGACACGAAGAAGTTATTTTTTAATGTGTGCCAGATATTTAGAGTCCTCGGGTTTTATCCATGTAGTACCATACAAAAATTTGCCCAATAACCCCTACTCTTCTTTCTATAATTTGATAAGCTTAAACTGTCATCTCTGAGAATGTTGTAAAATTCGTGTTATTCTATCACCGTTTTTGAAGAATAAAGGAGCCAATGTTTAAATGTATAAAAAATATAGATAGTATTATTTCCCGTCATATGTTTAATGGTTTATATCTCCTACAAGCACACGGACCCTTCAATTTGTATCTGCTTTTTTAGTTTCTTTATTGATATACTTTCATTTTATAACAGTCGTTTGAATAGCTTGTAATTTGAAACAGTGTAGCGAACATCCTTAGCGTGAATCAGCATATCAAATTGAATGCGCAAATTATCAAGCTACATCAGTTGAAAAACCAATGGTTGTTTAACGTCTAGCTTGTGACATGTTCCTTCTATATATTTAATCCTAAAACATTTTTTACCTTTTTGCTCTTTTATACATAAATGAACACACTTTGCAAAGAAGCAATAAAATACCAAGTTTCAAAGTCTTTAGTTTTGTGCAATTAACTACTCGTATCTTTCACTAGAAAAAAAGATATTTGAGTGCAAAGGGTTTGACCACATTATATCAAGTGATTTACGCTTAAATAAAAGGTGTAAAATAAATCCTGCAAATTTAAACGTAACAAACTTTTACGTTACTAATATTTACGTTACATTTGCAATTATCAGGAAATCACACTTGTATATCAAAAGTATGATCACCCCTCGCCCCAAAAAAGAGAAATTGTGACCTCCCATCAAAAACATGTAAAACTTACTGATGCTCATGTTGTTGATGTTTTCACTATGTTTTTCATGTCCAACAAATAAACTTTCAACTTCCTCTTCAGATTTTTTATCTGAAATCTGTTGTGCAAGGAATTGTTCCTCAATGCTGTAAAATGGTAAAAAGAAAGTAAAAGTAAAGCATTTTCAATAAAACAAACTATGATTGATTAGAAAAGTACTTGCTTTTCTGCAAATTTGCTTTCTAGTTTCTTCATTATCATTACACTTTAAAACTTATAAAAGCTGCAACTGATTCTTTAAAAGCTCATCGGAAGATACCAAGACCTTGTTGATAAATATTCAATATCAATTTCACAAATAATACATGATGGTCTTGAAGTATAGATTCTAGGTACTGATGTTGTTTTTCATTTGATTACGTATTATATTGTTCTTTTTATTTGTCTTTGTATATTTTTAACCTTCACTGTTTAGTCCATTTTTCATATTATCCTTTTTGGCGTGGCTCGGTACATGTACATCCAGCCTTTGTGTTATTGTGCTAGGGTCATTTTTGTATTCTTATCTTTCATGTCTGCTTAGGTGCTTTGTCTATAGAATGTTTAGAAGCCATTTTGTTTTTCTTTGCTGACATAGTTGTTTGCTTTGTAATGATCAGTATTATAATGGTGACGGTTGTACCACAATTTTTGACATGTTTACCTTTAGTATTATGTCTGTTTGTTCTGCTCACACATTATTGTCAATATAATGAAATTCATGTGACTGTGTTCAGAGGTTTATAGTTAGCTTTAAAACCTGGTTTAATCCACCATTTTCTGAATAAGGAAATCATTGCGGCTGTACCAAATTAGGAATATGACAGTAAATTTCTATTCGTTTGATGTATCTGAGCTTGTGATTTTGCTATTTGTTAAGGGACGTTCCGTTTCGAGTGTTCTTTGGACTTCGATATTTTTGTTACATGTATTTTACTTTTTAAGTATATATTGGTTGCTTATAAAAAAAAAAATCCGAATAACTCATATTAGTATAATAATCTGTAAATGAACAAACCTGCAAGCTCTAAACTCAAATCTTGAAATTGAAGCATAAGGTATATCACCAAGCCTATGGATACTAGAAATGAACTGAATGAAATTGCGAGGAAAACTATCAAAAAGTTCCATCTTCGTTTTTTAATACAAGAACAACATGAGTTTTGCTCGTTGGTTTTTGGTGAAACCCAATCAGATGTTTTGTTTATATCATCGTCATTTTTCTCAATTGCGTCCAGTCCACGATTATATTTATTGCCAAATATATATGTTTGACTTTTTCCGTGATGATTCTCTTCTTTGGATGCTTCTGAAATGTTGAGTTAGAAATGAACTGTTATGTTACTCACCGAGGGTTTAATTTTAGACATGCGCATTATAATTATGTACACATATGTAAGGAGCTCTTCACTGGGAAGACTGTTGGAGTATTTCAGGTTGCCCTATTTGCTTTAAAATGGAAGTATATCATGGAAAATAATAGTAAATGACTTAACTTATATTTTAGATTTATGTCATGATAATTGCATATTATCTTTTTGGTTTCAGTTGAAAAGAACGATTTGTCTACATATTTGCCAATTTTATCACATGAATTACGATTTGAATTATAGCTACATAAAAATGTAACTATTGAAAAAAATAACTCAGGAAGTTTTATTTGATGTTCCAAGAATCATTGATGGTTGTGATTATGATAAATAATAAAAATAAATATCTTGTTAAAATACAAACACAAACATGTGTTCTTGGAACAGACGATACGTGAATTCACGTTTTTCATAAAAAAATTTACTTATCAATGTATTATACAACTTAATATACATGGTATATAATATGACAGACTATTAAAATAGAAATGAGCAAAAAATGGGCTGAACTAAAATGAAATATGTTCAATTACTGTACACGAAGAATAAAGAAATAGAAACAAAATTCACTGAACTAAGGAAACTTTTGGGATACATTTCTGTTTTTACACCATACAGCCGACATGTATCATTTTTTTTCAAAACTTAACGCACCCGATCATGCAAACGTGAAGAGCAAGTTATGTTGTAAGTATGAATTCATTTTATCTAAATAGAATTTAATATTCTTGAATTGGCCGGATTATTTCTTGTGTTTATACTGAAGATTTAATACCTGAAATGTATGTGTAAATTATATACTTTACCCATTTCTGGCCATCCACCATATGGTGATATATATCTTCCCGACTTATTTTGCAGTCTGTACTTTAACTTATACTTAATTTCAGAACTGGGCTATCCAAAACATAACCACTTTCTGTAATGATCAGCTAAGATATTAGAGAATCATGAAAATAGTATAATTTAGCCTTCCTTACAATTTTGCTTTTCAATAGAACCATGCTAGATGGAGCATGATATTATTTATATATAGAGAGAATTTAACTTCTGAACGAATTTGTTATATGATCATATTTGCTTTCGATAAGTATCTAGATGGAACCATCGCTATTTTATCACGAACAGCCACTCATATCACTTAGTTCTGCAATGCCAAAAATCTGCAATTAATCAACATTTACAAAACTTAATATCAGCTTTTGCTTCAATTGACTAAAACACATAATATTGTTACATGATTATTATAGATAGTCATATGAATAGTCAAATAAGATAATTTGTAACTTATTGTGTAGTGCATTATCCAATTAAATATTTTAAGTTGAATGCACTGATGAGGGCGTTAGCCCGATTGAATTTATCTCATTTTAATACAAAATGATTTTATGATTAATGCAAAATTATAGCTTTAAATAATGTAGTGTTTTATTCAGGAATTTACACTTATTTTGTTAAACCAAAATTAATGAGAAGAAGAACGCCTTGTCCCCTTTTTTGATAAATATATAGTTTGTGTTCCTTAAAATCGTCAATTGTTGTTATACAACATAAGACAGTTACGAACTCCCAACCACTTTTTCAGACCCGGAACCACGCCCACTGTGTATATTATATGTGTTAACCTATATTGCGGACAGTTAGCTTACATACAACATCCACATGATCCATGACAGTTCTTTGTGTACATGAGTTCGTTCTTTGTGTATTTTGATGATAGATAATATGGTAGACTTTACAGGACATAAATGTATTTATTAACTATCAATAGCACAGGGGTTTGTTGTTATATTGGGAACATGTATTCATGTTTAAAATAATATTTAAATTATTGTAGCATAACAATAAGTCACCTTAACAAAGTTAGGAGTTTAAAGTTTCTTTATATGATAGCACGGACTGGTCATTCGCGGTAAAAGTTTACAAAATACAAATACAATACCAATATTTTATTTGCACAAACTCATTAACAATAAATGGTTAAGACCTATTGCATACATATAATTATATTAATTAACATGGTAGAATGAAAAGTTACATGCTAACATATTGGTGTTTCATATTAGTTCACTATTTCTTATATTTAGACACTCTGATATGAAAGAGGAAGACAGTCTAGGTAATAATGCTGAGGTATTGTTAACCAATAGAGATATCTTATCATCAGTGGTAATGTTACGCTGTATTTTAAATATAACATTTATTTTATTTTCTAATATTTCTCGTTTTGAGGTAAATCTATTACATTGTAATAAGAAATGTTGTTCATCCTCAATTTCCCCACTTTTACAGACAGGACAGTATCTTTCCTCTCTAGGAATGTTAAGATGTCTTCCCCTTTAAATCATTAAAGAATTTGCACTTATGCGTATTTTGCATATTGCTGCTCTATCATTTACATTGTTTAGTGAATCAACATATGATGGTCTTTGACCCATTTTGTAGACTCGACGAAAGAAACTGAGTTTAGAAGATTCCTGTATGTTTGCATTTTGATTTTGCAAGCACTGATCATAAATTCTTTGTTTTACTTGTCCCAAGTGCTGTTTTTTTAAACAACTTTTTTCTACAAGATATGAATATCCTAATTTTTGTAAAGTGCATTTAGTTTTTTTTATCCAGGGGTTTGACAACCTTGTTGCACAGACAATTTTATTTACAAGAATTTAGTGTATTTTCTGATGAAAGTATATGCTCTAAAACATTTATGCTTGAAAATACAATTTTATTTTTGAGTGGAATTCGACCAACCTCAGCACGACAAGCATCATTTCAAGCCTTGCAAGTGCTTCTTTGAAAAATTTAATGTGTAGTTTTTCAAAGGGTCCAGAGTCCCTTAGGGATGAGTAAACACCCCAAATTTCACAACAGTACATAATTATAGGTGATATTAATGTATCAAACAGTTTTTCAAGTAGTCTACATGGATTATTCAGACCAACAGTTTTCTTTATTTTTAAATAGGCTTTTCTTGCCTTTTCCATAAGAGTATTAATGGCTAAATTGAAATTATCATTACATTTTATTACAATACCTAAATAAGAGTAATGACTAACAGTTTCAATACAAGAATCATTGTAAGTAAATTCTTCCAAAAACGTTTTACCATTTGAATTAAATACAATAACTTTGGACTTATCTGTGTTAACTTGTAGTTTCCAACAGTCACAATAATCATATAAAGCATTAAGACTGTTTTGTAGTCCTTTTTTACTTCGAGACAATAAACCAATATCATCTGCATAAAGAAGAATATTTAAAGAAAAGTCCCGAATTACAACGGGATCAGAATTACGATTGATTAAATCATTAGTGAGGTCAATAATATAATAATTAAAAAGTACAGGGCTCAGTACATCTCCTTGTTTTACTCCTCGCTCAGATAAAAATGCTGAACTGAGTCCATTTGAAAACTTGATCTGCATATTGAGTCAGTATACATTGAATAAACAATTCTAAAAATTATATTTGGAATATCGTGTAACAAAAGTTTATAAAACAATCCTATTCGCAAAACTGTATCAAAGGCTTTTTTGAGATCGATAAAAGCTGCAAAAACCTTTTTATTTTGTTGTTTATAATGATCAATTACTGATTTTAGTGTAAATATGTGATCAGCAGTGCGACTATTTTCTTTAAAACCAATCTGATTTTTGCTGATTAAGTTTTTACTATTTATGAAGTTCATAAGTTTGTTATAGATAACTTTATTAAACAGCTTGCCAAGGTTGGAACTGATGGATATGCCCCTATAATTTCCAGGGTCAAATTTGTTTCCCTTTTTGTGGAGAAGAACTAGAAAACTTTCATTCCAGGTCTTTGGAAAATTTTTACTAGTAAAAATAAAATTAAATAATTTATGAAGTGGTTTAATTAATACAGGTACAACATTTTTTAACGTTTCATTTGAGATCATATCAGCAGATGAACTCTTACCATTACGGAGCAATCTAATAGCTTTTACTATTTCATCTGCATTTATTTCTGTAATTTCATTTATTACATTAAAAATACATTCTCTTAGATTGACCATGACCCCCCACCCCATGAAAACTTTTTGTATTAATTTCTAGATATTGTAAACGCAATATGTTTTTTTCTGAAGATCTTAAAAGAACAGTATGTAAATATTGTTTTGTGATATGAAGGAGTTCTATCTATTTTTTTTATTATTTTTAGATATGTTTGTAAGACATGTATGCTGCAGCGGTCTTAGTGTGCTTGCGAAGTAATTGAGGACATTTGTATTTGTTAAAATAAAAATAAAACTTTGCTGCACTCGTCTAGACGAGCTGTTTCCCATACATATGTGTTTGATTTTTTATTTATAAATACTTTATTTGCGTTTGAGGCTACGAATAAGAAAATAATTGAATGGATGTTCTTTGATCGTCCATTGGCAATTATGAAATGCATATTCGTGACGTAAACAAATTTAAAATGAAACAAGTTTGTAGTTGTGCAAAGTGGGTAAACCGGGTTTAAGGCTGAACATTTTAACTGCAACGTACAGGAAAAGAGGGTCTGTAAAAATTGCTTTGCAATAAGGATATAAATGGAGTGCACATAGAGTCGTTGCAAGAGTCCCTGAACTAGTTTATAGTGTGCAACTCTTTGTTCATTGGTCATTTAAAAGTAAAACGTCTTGCAATTAGGAAAATCAAAAGAAAGTAAAAGAGGTTTGTCAATGTAACACGTAAGCATTATTTATTGCTTATTTATGTGATTGAGTAACACTCCTGTTGTTTGGATTTTAAACTAATAAGCAAGTAGAACTGTGTGGGGTTTTTCTCACTAATAATACACCCGCTCTAAATCATTCGGTGAACATGAAGTTGAAGAACAATGGATATGAACATTCATTTTATGATTGTGCGGTTACATTGTTATACTTTTTGGTATTTGTACATACCACACACGTGCGTTACCCTTACAGTACCCCCACACTATTCCTGTTTACATTATGTTGAGGTGATGTCTCCGCACTTATATTTTTTACAAACATTCTGGAATTCTGATACCGCCACAGTATAAACATTTTATATTTCCTTTCCAAGAAATTACATTCGTCAGTATTACTTTCAGAACAATTTTAATGACATTATATGTGAATGAACTTCATAAACAAGAACAAAGAATAATCAATTTATCGTATCTATATCATTACTATTTTCATAACTGTACGTAATTCATATGCGTTATTGATTGACCAAGATTTGTTTGTTTACGTTATCTGTTCTGTTGCAGAGATTGACAATCTTTGAATAGTTATGGCAGTAACGTAACCGATCTCCGCTAGAAAATAAAAACTATGGAAAGCAGTATATGACATAATCGTTGCTAATTATAAACAATTATAGTGCGAAGGGAATTACTGGACATAACTCATATCTTTGTATAGAAATGTCAGAATAATCACCGTATGGACTATTAAAGTAAATTGAAACATAAATTCATAATTTTATATGGAATGCTAATTTTGACACTTATTCTTTTAAAATGTAAGTAATTTAGTAATTGTAATTTCATTTAATTTCAGCTTTCTACCACACAATCACAAACACTTATTGTACAACGATCATTACATTGGAATATTCTGTGCTTCACCAGAATAAAGAATATTACTTTTTAAGTGTTAGTTTCTTGGTTAAGTTGACTGTAATTTCGCCGGAAAAGACAGAACACGGATTTATATGTTATGTAGGGGCGTAAGTGTTATGTAATAGCATTAATGTTATGTAGCTGGAGTAAGTGCTACGTAGTGGCTATAAAAGAGAGGCAAAATATACCAAATTGACATTCAAACTCATAAGTCGAAAATCTGTCAACGCCATGGCTAAAAAAGAAAGAGACCAACAGACAAACAATAGTACACAAAACACAACATAGAAAACTAAAGACTGAGCAGCACGAACCCCACCAAAAACTGGGGTGATCTCAGGCGCCCCGAAAGGGTAAGCAGATCCTGCTCCACATGTGGCACCCGTTGTGTTGCTCATGTTAATAAAAAACCCGGTAATAAGTTTAGTTCGGTAGGTCACATTCGGGAAAAGAAGACGGAATTGTAGTTACGACATTAGGAACATATTCGCTATCATCTGTGAAACAGATAATGTAATGTAGAGGACGTAAGTGTTACGTAGTGGCTATAATGTCATGAAGGGAGATTGAGTGTTACGTAATGGCTATACTGTCATGTAGGGGTCATTGTAACGAAGTTGCTATAATGTTATGTAGGTGGAGTAAGTGTTACGTAATGACTGTAATGTCATGTAGAGGAGTAGGTGTTTCGTAGTGGCTGTAATATTATGCAGGTATAGTAAGTGTTATATAATGGCTGCAATGTTATGTAGGTGGAGTAATTGTTCCGTAGTGGCTGTTATGTTATGCAGGTGGAGTAAGTGTTACGTAGTGGCTATAATGTAATGTAGGTGGAGTAAATAATACGTAGTGGCTATAATGTCATGTAGGGGTCATTGTAATGTAGTTGCTATAATGTTATGTAGGTGGAGTAAGTGTTACGTAATGGCTGTAATGTCATGTAGAGGAGAAGGGGTTTCGTAGTGGCTGTAATATCAGCAGGTGGAGTAAGTGTTATATAATGGCTACAATGTTATGTAGGTGGAGTAAATGTTACGTAGTGGCTATAATGTCATTTTGGTGGAGTAAGTGTTACGTAGTGGTTATAATGTTATTTAGGG